TCATCTTCTATTATTTTTCAAAACTGATTTATACCTATCTTAATATTATTTGAATTCTATGTTTTAAAAGTAATGTAAAACATTCAAAAAAACTTGTCTTAGTGTAAAAAAAATAGAAGTATGCAATTGGTCTGTTCCTTCACAAAATAACACGCATCTCGTGTAATGCCTGCGGCTTCATTTGTGAAAAATGTAACGTAATTATCCAGGACTAGTATAGGAATACAATTACAATTACCAGTCAGGGCGGCTATCTTATTACTAAAGAAACTTAAGTAGAAGACTTTTATAAAGGATTAATTAAACCAGTGCTTCTAATACCATCAGATGAATTACTTAAATTCTAAGTAACTCCTTGTCGCTGTGTTGTTTCGTTAATAGCGCCGTTGTATGCCTACAAGTAGGTTTGCTATTAGCCGATTACTGGTAAAGACGTCTGTGTTTACTGTAATATATTTAAACAGCAACATTCAATCTTTAAATTGCTTGCTTTGTTTACTTTAGTTATCTACTTTAATTTGAAAATTAGATTTAAAACAAATACTTTTTTGTTAAAAATTATAATAATAATACTCGGCATTAGTGTAGAGTGCTATTCTGTCAAAACGTCAGTTAAAAGACACATAGGCCTATCGTATTTGCATACTTGAAGACTTGCTCTACCTCCAGAGTCATAGGCTCGAGTGCCGTTCAAACCAGCGCCGATATTATTGCTGTAGGTTGCGGCCCTCTGCCTTAACCGCCCGGCCATTAGACTCGCCTACGGCAGGGCTCAATTGGCTGTCTAAAAATGTTGATTTTTTATATAGCCTTAGATTTTTAGTAAAAAAATTATATAAATCAGTACAGACTGAATTATTTTGATTGGTGTTTCGATCTGTGTTTAATATATAAATCCATTTTATCGAAAAATTTAATTTATTTAATTGATTTAAAAAAATATATATTTTTTCAGTTTGTTACCCCAGACGAGAATGCTATACCTCCATTGTAGGCCTAGGCCTAACTTAAACTTCCTTGCAAGAGCATTTTTCCCTAATTGAAAGCTAATAAATTATTGAAATACAATGTAACCAATTATTTTTGCTTTCAAGTTTGTTTGATGTAATGTTGCAATTTCTAATTAAACGAAATACACGACGAATAAATCGATATCGCGTACGATTTCTTTTCACAATGCCAGAAATACTGTTTCTTTTTTTATTTATTACAAGGCACAAATAGCACATAATGAAATAAATTAATAAAATAAGTAATTATCAAACGACTAAAGAACATTGCTGTTAATGTTATTAATATTACCATATATTGTGAATACGTAATATATTTTTTTACTAATTATTCAGTAAAATACAATCAGGATTTGTCGTAGGTTTGTTGTAATCCTTCGTTTAAGGCCAGGCATCGTAGGCAAACACATTTTGGATATGTTGTACGACTGAGACAAAAACCATTTTGAGGACAAAATACTTTGGAGCGGTTAATGAGGTACAGATTTTTGAATATTTTATACCTGGGAGGAAAGGGAAACATAACTAGCATTTTTTCCACTTCCCCTCCCCCAGTTTTTTAACCGCTCCCGAGTATTTCGTCAAATAATGGTCTTTGTGTCTCAGAAAAATCAGCACAACATATATCAACATTTTTGTTTTTCCTTCGGAACCTGGCTCTAAGTTTAAACTTGATATTTTATTTGCATGGTGTTTGCTTGTACTAGTTAAATTAATTTAAATTCAACTTCTTTTTTTCCATAATCATCCCTCAAAATTTTTTTTGAAGACTTTTTAGGGATCACATTAGAAATATATTAGTTTTATAGACCTATTAAATCATAATATCAATACAAACTTTATTGATATTATTAAAATAATGATAGAGTTTTTGTTAATATCGTAATGTAATAATAATTATCTTACTATAATTTTACTAGGCTTACTGTATAATAATAGTTAGCAGTCGTGCCAAGAATGTGAAATACATGTAGGCCTATAAAGTAAAGGCACAGTACATCAGAGAAGTGAAATTCCTTTGACTCTGTGGCTAAAATAAAGACCGCTCGGTGGCCTAGGTCACGGTAACACAACAAAAAACAGAATAGAAATTGGATAGCACGAAATAATAGTATAATTAGGCCTATTATATAATAAAAAATAAATAATATTTATAATATGATAAATATTGTATTATTTGACAAGAATGCGTTGTTCCTCCTTGTTGGTTTCAAGTATATATTATAAGTAAATTTTCAAGATAAACGTGCTTGTATCATGTTGTTATAATTATGCAAAAGAAAAACCATTATAATGTATTGCCTGGTGTTATAATCGTCGACTTTATAAAATACAAAACGATATGGATGAACAAAATATTTTCTGCTCTTCCAAAAAAGGTAACTGGTTACCAAAAAGTGCTGCGAATCACTGTTATATTAGCGTTTCAAGAGCGCTACTTAATTGGATGTGTAGATAATGAGGACGAACCGGTTACTAGATCACCAGATAACCTAAATTTTAGCCAATTCATCGTTCTATCGGACTCTTGTGTCATCGGCCGAGAAACATATAGATACAATTGTTTACGTTTTTAACCCGACATCCATCAGCACTATACTTCTGCTGTATGTCTACTTGCTAAGCCCTCCCTCTCTCATTACCTGGACCGGCTTAGAGATGTTGGTAAATTCCCGCGAGAATCTTTCGCCTGACAATGCCAGCTTGTAGGGTGGGCTTAAACTAAGCTTCTCTTGTGACGTCCTTGTCACAAACTTTAGGCCAACTCATGTTGCTTAAGAAAGAAGGGCTGAGAAAAAACAGAATCGCAAGGCCTAAGCGAAACCACTTTTAACAAAGTTGCCATCAGAGCTAATTATGTCATTGATAATATTTGAATTAACAAGGGACAAATAGGAATGGCTAAGTAAGTGAATCCTCACACAAAACACGTTGTAACACTTGGCAAAAGATTTGTTCAATCATAAGCCTACCAAAGCCAAGCCTACCACAACTTTTAGAAGACTGCAGAGGTCCCAGGGAGGATATGCGCCGTTTCGTAGAATCTCAAAGCCTACTTGTTTTGTATCGGTGTTTTTGACTTAAATTTCGGTTGGACGTGAATTCAACAATATTCATATGTTTTTAGTATACTGTAATAGAAATAAGTTTGCATTTTATTTGCTGTATTGTGTATGTATATTATAAATGGGGGTTTTAAGTGTGAATAATGTATAATTTAAAATAAAATATTCTTGTTGACACTCAATAAACCAAAATTCGATTATTATGTAAATTTATATTAATAGTAATGATAAGAATAATAATAAATTTGTACTTTGTTTCGTCTTGTTGCTCCTATTAAAATTATTCCAAAGGTTCACCAACACTATTTTTAAAAATTATGATATTTCAACATTTAACAACATTTTAAATAATAATATCGGTATTTAATGTTGTTGCTAATTAAATTAAATTAAATTCATAATGTATTTCTTTTATACTTTATATTTATATAATTTTATGCTTGTATAATAAAACCCGAACACCAATTAAGTAATTTAACAATTCAGTGGCTGCAAAAGGAATGGACAGGTAACCATAACATTTATAATAAATAACCATTAAAGTTTTTAAAGATATATAGTGTCAGTGTCAGTATAGTGACAGTTGTTGGATGTATTGCAAACGGGTTTATTTTATATACCGATCCTATAGGTAATAATCTGTAAAACTAAGTTATTTAATTCTTTCGGAAGTAAAGAATGTGTTACGAATAGTGGAACTTGGAGATATAACTTAATTTACCTGAATTGTTAGAGATAATCAGTAGGTCTAGGCTATTTCAGCATTATTTCCGATGAACAGGTATTTTACATCACTGTATATTAAGTATTGCCCCAGGCCTATTCAAAAATACCTTTTGATCCGCTTATAATATAAGTTTTTAAAATCCAATTAACAGGTTTTGCTGTTAGTCAATATTTGAATTTCACTGACAAAACTCATAATAGGACGGTTTGCCCAGACAATCAGACAAATTCGTATGAATCATACTTATAATAATTTATTTACCCTGTGGGAAAAGTGGACGATCCTCGGTTCGTCCCCACAATTGTCTAACGAGAGGAGCGCTTGTAGGAAGAAGAAGGTCGCGCTGTGAAAAGTTAGCTACCCATCACGGTTTCCGCACCCGGTACTCTCACCTATAAGATCCCATAATGACCGCTGTCGACTTATACAAACACCGTGCTTATCTAAGGACACATTGGCTTAAAGTTGAGAGTTTATTGACTCGGTGGGAACCGTGAGAGTTCAATTGAATGTCCGAAGAAAGAGAATACAATTGAGATTGTGGAATTCAATAGCGTTTATAAGAACACCGATTCTCACCTTTACGATCATTTGTCGTCTGCTGGCGATTTAAAAACACCAATCAGAATCAGTGTTAGCGTTTGGTTTAAAATCACAGCCTCTATCAATTGATGATAAACTGTGTTTACCGAACAAGAATTTCATTTTAGATTTTTTTTAAGGAATCGCAATACTTTCTGAAGTTGCGTGGAAAAGAGTTTTAGAACATGAGTCTGCTTCATGAGTTTCCCGATTATTCCCTTCAGCATCTCGGTAATCATCGGCCGGACGGACGGGACCGAATTTATAACCAGCGACAGCCATGGATGTTGAACCCGCTGCCTGCAGAGTCGCCTACCATGCCCCTACACCAACCAGATTACCATCATCATCACCTCCTACATAGTCCCCTTCCTACGGCGCATAGTTGTGTTTATGAGGAATCGAACGGCCCGAGGACTATTCGCGCGCCGAGACGAGTGGCGGCGAAAAAGGAGCGTCGTCGAACGCAGAGTATAAACTCGGCGTTTGCCGAGTTGCGCGAGTGCATTCCGAACGTTCCCGCAGACACAAAACTTTCAAAAATCAAAACATTAAGACTGGCAAGCAGTTATATAGCATATCTTACAGAACTTTTATACGAAGATACGAACACGAAGTGCCATTTGGACGTTGATCTAGGTCATATTAGGGCAGAATTCAAACGAATGGAGGGGAAAGAAAGGCAAAAACAAATACAAGATAACATGGTAAGTAATATTTACATCATTTTGAAATACCTTTGACAATCTAACTCTAATACATAATATTAATATTATTATTTCACATGCTAATTTGATTTGTAACTTTTGGCACTTGAGTTTTTAGATACCGTTTGTGAGATGCTAGAAAAAACTTGAATAAAATGTACTGTAACTGTACATGAATTGCTTACAGTAGGCTATAGTGTTAAAATGATAAAATATGTTGCTTGTCAATTAACGTTTAAATAATACTTAATATAGTTAACAGTATGTATTATTTTACATAGGGACCTTTAAATTCGGCGGTAGATCAAAAGGTTTCGATCAGTAAATAACTTACTTTTGTTCTATGGGTTAAGATTTTCCCATATTTTATAACATTGACAGATGACATATATCTTTCTCTGACTGATAACTTTTGGGCTTAATATAGGTCGAAAGAACTTGCTTGTAAATACATATTTGCAAATTTACACCCATTGTTAACCACTCAATCGAGGACCAGCAAGTGTTGTTATAAGCGTATAGAAAATATCCTTAACAGACAGATTAGAGTTGTTGCTAAACATGAGCCTACAGTGATAGACATGGTTAGAATGCATTTTCCCTATGCACCCCAGAGTGATGAAATATGCCCTGATATGAATGCATACAAATCAGTGCCGTAGCCAGTTACTGGAATAGTTGGAACAGTCTTCACAATTTTCTATTGGGTCCACAAAGAATGGTTTACATTTTTTACAATCGGTCTAAATTATTGTGCTGTTTTACGCACAAACTGAGTCCACTTTTAGAAAAATATGTCCAGATTTCTCAAAGTTTTCGTTCAATGGATCAATTTTTAACAAAATAAATCCAGATTATTCATATCGTTGCGTAAAATGTGTCAACTTTTAAGAAAGTATGTCTACATTATTTGAATTTACGCGTTAAGTGGGTCCACCCTGATTTTGTTCCGCACTGTCTGAAAATCCTGGCTACGTCATTGATACAAATCCATTGTAATAATTATTATATATAGGTATAATGTAGTTATTTAAACCTAAAAATGTACGTCTTAGTGAAAGTTTGAAGCGGATAAATACATCAATAGATTAAAGTGGTATATTTAGTGATTCAAAAGAAAATTATGTCATTTTAACGTAGAATGTTGTCGGGAGTAAATTAATATTCTAGTTTTCCTACCAGATCAGACCTCTCTAAATTTTTATTGAATACCTGGTAATTATAATGTTTTCGTTAGTACATCAGTTGTAAGATACCGTATTGTCTACAAGTAGTACTGTAGTCTACAGTGTTTATGATAGAACCAATAGAAAACGATAAACCAAATCAAAGATCATTCGATATGATAGGCTCGCCCATTCCCGATTCCGTTCCTTTTCTTTGCATCGGTAGGAGTTAGAAGCATTCGCTTTATTTTGTAAAGGCCTAATCATGATACAAAATCAAATGTGTCATCCTCGCTCAATTAATGCTCTTTGAATTTTCAGCAAAATAAATTAAATAATTAATTAAAAATATTACATTTTTGTAGCTTACCCCATTGATGTAAAACTGTGTATTGTGCAACGTAATTCAGTTCATACAGGTTGATAAACTTTGTGATATTACGGTACAATATACCCTATATTATTATAGGCCTAAATGCTCCAGCGAGGTGGACGTTTTATTTGTCGACGGTGTGCGACAGGTTGTCGCGTAGGTGCTGAATGAAGCTGGAAAACTATACTCCGACATACTAAATTTACCTTGTTTAAAACAACAGTGTACTTAAATAATAAACACAGTTCCTAATCTGTTGTATTCTGTGCATACCCACTATGTCCGTACCGGTACCTGTTTTGGGCCTCTGTATATTTTGTTAATCTGCTTTTCTTTTTTTTTTTATGTATTTTCTCTATTGCGTATTTGCAGTTGTTATACTTACTTAATTCCCCTAAATAAGCATTTCAATGTTGTATTTAAGTTTTAAGTTAAAGATGAGTTTCCAGGTTTCACTACAGATTTATTTGGGTGATGATTAAACATGAATTAATGAATATTTATCCCACAATATTCTATGTGTTAAATGTTAAAACAAGAAACGAATTTTTCATGCTGATCTAAGCCATTTAAAGTACACATCTGAGTCAATAGACAGTAGTCAGATACCGGTGGGATTTTAGGGGTGCGTTTACATGGGCATTTATTTGCCTCGTGTTAGTCATACTGACTGTTTAGTCGGTTTATATAAGTACGAATTAATATTTGTAATTTAAATTTTATCGTTGAGTTTTCCGATTTTGTTTTATAAACTTAGTTATATTCACAAACATGGACTGTTATCTTTTGGTAGGCCACCTCTAATAAATTATTTGTTTATTAATATTATTTATGAATGTTTAATTTTGTGGAATGTTATTGATTTGATATTTTTGCGCTGCTATTTGTTAAGTTAGATTGTTATATTTTATGCCTTTATTATATGATTAGATACATGTTAATAGTAAAATGTATAATTTGTATAGGCCTATTCACATATACACGATTATTCATAAGGATAAAAGCGTGACATAAAAGTATGTAGAAATCAATTAAAGTAACGTAAATTAAAAGAAGTTTAATTAATAAAGACAATTATAAATACATAATGGAACTGAATGTACATGAATATAAGTAAATTAAAACAATACGAAATGTTAAACATTCACTTTAAATTTGAAGTTTCTGTGTTGGTCAGTGAATAATTACAAGTTAAAAAAATTAAATCAGGTGAAACTTCTTCATATTAAAATGTAAATCAGAAACAGTTTATCTAATCCTTATAAAGGCCTAATCATTGGGACACGAATCAGTGAATAAAATCTATTTAATCCTTATAAAGGCCTAATCATTGGGACACAAATCAGTGAATAAAATCTAAATTCTAAAAGTACCACTGTTTAAAATAGTTATTTTCTCCGACGGAACAAGAAAAGAAAAGTTTACCCTGACCTCTCAGCGACTTTGTTGTTAATTATAATCGATGTTTTCGTACATATTACTACAGTAGAGCGCTGCACTATGTTCACGATACACAAAGTATACTGGAGTTACTCAAACCGCTCAAACACCAAACTATTTAGCCTAATCATCAAATGCACACTTAATTTAATTTAGGATTATTCTGTAAGGTAACCGCAAAAAAGATCTGTCTATACGCGGTCGGGAAACATCCTGCATTAAGATATTCTCCAGTATGCAAAATGATGTTCATCTTCCAACGATGTTGTTGACGACAGTAAGTTATGTATCATTTACATGATAATTAGGAATGAATCAGAATGTATCACTCGGCTATAGCAATTGACTTCTATGCAGTTTAAAACGAAAAATAATCGTCTGTTTGGCGGAAGAATGTATTTTCTTATTTTATGTTTCAAAACCTAATAAAATACTTAAACTTAAATAGGCATACAAAGTAAGCAATTTGAATACACATTTTTTTTAAAAATAGCAACACATTTTATAAGAACACTGAAGCTGAAATTGCTTAACAATTAAGAACAAATTATTGAGGCTGAGATAAAATGTCAAATGAGATTTTAATTTAAAATACTACAAAACTAACACATCTTACCTGTGATGTGCAGTTATAGGTGTGCCTATGTAATACCCTCCATAACACAGTAGCCTAATATACTGCCGTACAATAATAAGTTTCTATGTTTGAAAAGTGCTAAAATAAGAACAAAATAAGAACAATGAGCCTCGGCAAAATTTTACTGGTTCTTATAAAAAAAAAAGGTGTCTTGAAATTTATTATTACTAGCCTTGCACAGGGTCGGCATCCATAAGGTAAAACCAGAAATAATTATATGATTGTTGGATAATATCAGTCAAAGTTTACTGCACCCGTTATTTTTTTTAAAAGAAAAATAAGAACACATTTTGTAAGAACACTGAAGCTGAAATTGCTTGAAAATTAAGAACAAAATAAGAACAAATTATTGAGGCTGAGGTAAAATGTCACCAAGCTTTATAAGTGGTTTGGCGCAGCGGGAACAGTTTGGTTTGCCAACCTGGAGATCGGGGTTTCAATCCCTCCTGTGCATTTCGCTTGTGTCCTTGAGCAAGGCCCTTTATATCACGTTGCTTCTCCCTACCAAGAGTATAAATGGGGTGCCTGGTGGGGTTGCCTGCTCCTGCGCCAATATGGCAGCAACACTTAAGCATGTGGACCCAATGACAAGAAGTTGACCAGGAAAAAACTTACAGCGCTTTGTATCTGTAAATAAAGGTGCTATATAATGACCGGATTAGATTAAATTAGATAACAGGCGATAATATTTCCCTTTTCTTCCGTTGTACATTCATGAATTCCAAATCGTCCACCAGTATAGCATTTAAATATACTGTAACTTAGCCTGTTTATTTTCAGACAAATTCAGTACTACAGATATATTTCTGTTGTTGTTTGTCATTGTTCATGTGAAAACTGGGAAAATATTGTGCATTCCAGAATATAAATAAGCTTATAGTAAATTTAAAACAACGCGTATTATGCCTTGTCTTGCCTCATCCACTAAAAAGAATGGCACACTTCATCCTATCATCTATACTGTAACTTCTTTTATCTATCACGTTGGACAATACTGTGCTGATCTAGCCCGACCAGTACATGTTGTGTAAAACCTATCACCTTGATTTACCCAGCGTTAGTGCTGTACCAAAATCGTGAAATAAGGCCTACACATGCTGGCCTGGATGCCTACTCGACTTCCGTTATTTTCTCAACTCTCTGTGGTATGGGTGTACCGATGGAAACTTTAACAGTTCTATATAGTAATATGCTATTAATAGGAATATTAAACATATTTAAATGTATGGTAAACAATTATTATTTAAAAGCATACTGTTTCAACAAACTCCAAAGGTAAAATGTTGTGGTGTTTAATTTTTTTTTTTTTTGTTGTTATTGGATTTGGCGCATTAAATATAATAAGCCAAGGCATTTGGTTTTCTGTCCATACCGCTTTACATAC